AACGTTATGAACATACGTTCCAACTTAATATGCAATATCAGCATGATTTCCTTTATCTTATAAGCATCATCTTTATTCCCGTTTAGTAATTGGAAAACACAAAACAATATTCGCCACTACAGGGAGTTAAATTCAGTCATTACTATCTAACATTACATCCTTGTCATTCCACGTTGAAATGTCTGCAGGCCAGCGATTGAATGTAATGCTACTGGCGTTGACCAATGTGTGTCGTTAATGGCATATATGAAAACAGTTGAGGTCTTATATGATATCCATTATCTGGTGCGCCAGGGTCTTGGCAGTAGCAGTCACAGTCAACTACGAAGTTGAATATTTATTGCAACACTCCGTAATTCGAACTAATTTTACTGTTCAACAATCAATTCCACTTTCTACGCGTTACGTACATTTTACCGCCTTCTTAACATTATTAACTGCCAATCTCATGAGCAGCGAGGATTCACGAACCGTCAGAAGTTGTGCAACGTATTTGTTTTATTTTAGTAGGTATTTTAGTCCTTATACCGCCTCTTCCGCGGTTATTTTCCCTTTGTTATGTAACCTCAAACTTTAGTGGCGTATCTTTAATTGCACACAAACCACTGGCTTTTAAGTTAATTACTGAAAATCAATCAGTATTTGTGAGTAAATAATATTATAATTAATTGGATCTCGTTTGTCATATGTTATATTGACATTTAGATTGTGCAAAAACGTCCGTCATAAACATGTTAACACTTTCGACATCATATATTTACAAGAATTTTGGGGTCAAATTTAACATGTGGCATATTTTCATGTATTGATATTGGACCATATGGACATGACTTTCCATTGGTGTCATGTCTTCATCAACAATTTCAATTTTGAGGTTTGTTTTGAGAAAAGTGACAAAACTGTCACTTTGGCATTCACAGCGTCCAATCTGTCATGCTCGCCAACGTAGGTAGAACACATATAAGATGATAACTGGGAACCTATCCATTGTGAATCCAATGCCACAACCACTACGATAGAATATAAGTGTTTTTAGAAATCAGTGTTATAATGTGTCAACAGTAAAAGTATAACTGAAATCCATTATCTTCCTTATTTGATTATGTTTTTTGTTTGTTTATTTTCCGTGTTCTTTGAAACGTTATAATTTCATGGACCGTATGAATTTGCATTGACAAATGACAAATGACAATAAGGATAGTTTGTTATAAAAATTAAATTGATTTTCTGGTTCGAGTTGTCCACACTTCGATTGCAAAACATAAACTTGTTTTGCACTTTAAATACCGACGAGTATTACAACTATCCTAACTTGGAGCGCATGTATAAAAGTCGTGACGGGTAAATGTGTGCCATAAGGTATGTAGTCTAGATATAAAAAATACATAAATTGCCATGCCATGTATTACTATATGTTATAATAGTCCAAAAAGACTGGCCTTCCGGCATAAGGAAGGGAACTGACTGTCGTAAAAAAAATGGATGATCGTCATGGTAATAAAGTTGTGGCAACTGTTTAGATGGTGGAAAATAGAAGAATTGAGAATATAAGAAATTATTTGCAGAATTACATTTTTCCTGCCAAGCGATTCTGTATATAATAGGTCATATAATTGGGTTCAAGTCAGATTGACCTTTATATAGACAAGTAACGCTTAATTGTATGCCATTACACGTCCGGTGCACAGACTACACAAACGTGACGCCTTACAAAATTATGTAGAATAAAATTGATACTTCTCCTTTATCCCAATAACATTCACTAGACACAGTCATAATTTGCATCTGTTGTTACCAATTGTTCAAACTGACATTTTAAAATATTGGTTGTTTTTGTAGAACGGTAGTTGAATTGAACTCTCTCTCCGTCTAAGTTGCAATTCGCCATCTTTGCATTCTTTTAAGAGAAATCTCAACATCCCCTAAACTCGTACAGGTTGTAACACCTGCAAATTATGCATAAACTATGTATTTTTGTAAGGTGTTTATCTAGAGTTTATAGTATATAACGTGTCACGTGTAATGTTTATATTTCATGTACTGGACATAGGTCTGACCACAATTCTTTACTTCCAGTCAGAAATAAGTGAATAAAATAAAAACAAATAAAATATTTATATTATAATAAATAGGTCAATGTGTCATTCGTCGCCCGTTTCTATTATTAGATAATTATTGGAGAAATAAACCTCGTTTAACCACAATACTTTGTTGAAGCACGGTGAATAATAATTGCATATTCACCATGGCTTAAGTGACATTCACATACTTCAGTCGCAAGAAAGAATAATATATGGAAAAACGAATATTTTTATTTAAAAGTCACGCAAGAATGAAAATAATCAAACAAACTCATTGCACCACTCACCAAATACCATAAAGCCCCATTTTAAAATGATATTTGATATCAATTCTTATAACAAAATGCAATAAATTTTGTAAGGATGAAAGAAAATACATTGAGTATACTATCTATATCGATTAGAAAGGCAACTGGTTACTATTTAAACTACAACATACGTAGTTGAACACGAGGTGACAGGTAGTTGAGCACTATGTGACAAGTAGTTGAACACTACGTAACAGGTAGTAGAGCATTACGTGACAGGTAGTTGAGCACTACGTGACAGGAAGTTGAGTACTACGTTACAGGTAGTTGAGCACTACGTGACAGGTAGTTGAGCACTACGTGCAGGAAGTTGAGTACTACGTTACAGGTAGTTGAGCACCACGTGACAGGAAGATGAGTACCACGTGACAGGTACTGAGTACTAGGTGATATGTAGTTGAACACTACGTAACACGTAGTGGAGCACCACGTGACAGGTAGTTGAGCACTACGTGACAGGAAGTTGAGTACCACGTTACAGGTAGTTGAGCACTACGTGACAGGTAGTTGAGCACTACGTGCAGGAAGTTGAGTACTACGTTACTGGTAGTTGAGCACCACGTGACAGGAAGATGAGTACTACGTGACAGGTACTGAGTACTAGGTGATATGTCTAATATATAATATTTAGTAATTGTTATCCTAATTACCTTTCAAAACAGCTAAACCTTTCGGGCAATGACCCTGTATGATAGGTATTTCAGGACTACGTGCTTGGTATTAGTGTACTACGTGATAAGTATATGAGTACTGCGTGATAGGTAGTTGTGTACTACGTGTCGGTACTTGAATAATATGCGGTGGGTAGTTAAAAACTACATGATAGCTCGTTGAGTCCTTCGTGATCGGTGGTGAAGCACATGTCCCGCGTGACGATGATATAGACAAGTAACGCTTAATTGTATGCCATTACACGTCCGGTGCACAGACTACACAAACGTGACGCCTTACAAAATTATGTAGAATAAAATTGATACTTCTCCTTTATCCCAATAACATTCACTAGACACAGTCATAATTTGCATCTGTTGTTACCAATTGTTCAAACTGACATTTTAAAATATTGGTTGTTTCTGTAGAACGGTAGTTGAATTGAACTCTCTCTCCGTCTAAGTTGCAATTCGCCATCTTTGCATTCTTTTAAGAGAAATCTCAACATCCCCTAAACTCGTACAGGTTGTACCACCTGCAAATTATGCATAAACTATGTATTTTTGTAAGGTGTTTATCTAGAGTTTATGGTATATAACGTGTCACGTGTAATGTTTATATTTCATGTACTGGACATAGGTCTGACCACAATTCTTTACTTCCAGTCAGAAATAAGTAAATAAAATAAAAACAAACAAATAAAATATTTATATTATAATAAATAGGTCAATGTGCCATTCGTCGCCCGTTTCTATTATTAGATAATTATTGGAGAAATAAACCTCGTTTAACCACAATACTTTGTTGAAGCACGGCGAATAATAATTGCATTCACATACTTCAGTCGCAAGAAAGAATAATAAATGGAAAAAACGAATATTTTTATTTAAAAGTCACACAAGAATGAAAATAATCAAACAAACTCATTGCACCACTCACCAAATACCATAAAGCCCCATTTTAAAATGATAATTGATATCAATTCTTATAACAAAATGCAATAAATTTTGTAAGGATGAAAGAAAATACATTGAGTATACTATCTATATCGATTAGAAAGGCAACTGGTTACTATTTAAACTACAACATACGTAGTTGAACACTAGGTGACAGGTAGTTGAGCACTATGTGACAAGTAGTTGAACACTACGTAACAGGTAGTAGAACATTACGTGACAGGTAGTTGAGCACTACGTGACAGGAAGTTGAGTACTACGTTACAGGTAGTTGAGCACTACGTGACAGGAAGTTGAGTACTACGTTACAGGTAGTTGAGCACTACGTGACAGGAAGATGAGTACTACGTGACAGGTACTGAGTACTAGGTGATATGTAATTGAACACTACGTAACAGGTAGTGGAGCACCACGTGACAGGTAGTTGAGCACTACGTGACAGGAAGTTGAGTACCACGTTACAGGTAGTTGAGCACTACGTGACAGGTAGTTGAGCACTACGTGCAGGAAGTTGAGTACTACGTTACAGGTAGTTGAGCACCACGTGGCAGGAAGATGAGTACTACGTGACAGGTACTGAGTACTAGGTGATATGTATAATATATAATATTTAGTAATTGTTATCCTAATTACTTTTCAAAACAGCTAAACCTTTCGGGCAATGACCCTGTATGATAGGTATTTCAGGACTACGTGCTTGGTATTAGTGTACTACGTGATAAGTATATGAGTACTGCGTGATAGGTAGTTGTGTACTACGTGTCGGTATTTGAATAATATGCGGTGGGTAGTTAAAAACTACATGATAGCTCGTTGAGTCCTTCGTAAAGCACATGTCCCGCGTGACGATGTAGTACAACGCCTTACGTACACAAATAACCTTGTTCATTCTGCGATTCTGTTTAAATTACTAATCACAAAACCTCACTAGAAATTAAGGTGTGAAAATAATCGAATAAACCGTGGAAAACCCCAACCCATATTTTTACTATCGGTCTACTTATTTACACACGATAACAGGTGCTGCAACATCGCCTGGAGCAACACGTACAGTTAAATAACCAGCCAGACAGACTCACAATTCTTGACCAGCAAAGTTGTATAGACACGGATATCAGAAGCATCCCGGTCACGATGAACAATGCCACGAAGAAATGTCTGGCATCATTATCGTATTCTGGTACATAGTCTCCGAAACCGACGGTAGACAGGGTGATGATGGCGAAATACAGGGAATGTCCATACGGCCAACCTTCCATCGCTGAGAATACAGCGCCACCTACGATAATAAATATGGCGTTAACAATAAGGATAAACACGAACGGAATTTCGATGTTGACCTCGTCGGGAAGGAGGCTGTGGTCTTCTTCGTAGTGGTAATTCGTCCCACCCACGGCCAGTTCTTCCCTGTCGGCTTCGAAACTTACCGAAGCGTCCCGATCTGGCTGCAAGTCGTCGATAGAGGGCTCTTCGAGTTGCTGAAAGCTTGGACTGTTCTTTTCTGCCGATTTCCTTCGCGTTGGAAACATGCGACATCTACTGAAGCTGTTACATAATCTGCAATATGCACGTTTGACGTACACCGCCAGAAGCTGGCTAAGTTTCACTAGATAAATGAAGAACAGCGGAACGCCGATGATTGTGTATATAGTGCACACACACTTACCTACCGCAGTCCTTGGAGTGAGATGGCCATATCCTGAATTAAAAATAGAAAAAGAAAATAGTCTGACTGGATGGTTGTCATAGAGATTGCTTTGGCTAAAAGATAGTATACGTAAACGTGTGTATGATCATTGTAGTCAGGTTTTATCCCATCTTGAAATTAAAAGTTTCAGCAAATGGCTACTCTGAGGTTAATTTGCATATAATATCAATAATAATTATTAATATCAATGTGAAATGTATATTTTATGTCGCTCTGCATTAATAATTCAATGCATACCCAGTGACATCAAAAAGACCATTCTGATACGTCTACTTGCCGACATTTTCCACCGAAATCATCATTTGGTGTGGAAATTATAGGTCATAAAGACAATAGAGAGCAAATTGGTTCTTCTTGACTCAGAAGAAGTCGAAAATGTCACTTTTTACTTTAAAATAACAAAAAATATTCATAAAAATTAGAAAATTGAAGATATCACGAAATGAACAAATCTGGGAGAGGTCCACCTGTAGTACCTACTAGTATATGTATAATGTCAAAGCAATCGAACTTGCGGGTTTTAACAAGAAGTTGAAAATATTACTTTTACCAAAAATTACAAAAATATTCATAAAAATTAGAGAATTAAAGATATAATCACGAAATGAACAAATCTAAGAGAGGTCTACTTAATATACATATACACCAAGTATCAAAGCATTCAGGCTTGTACTGTTCAAGAAGTTGAGTAAAATGTGACACGCCGGACAACGGACGCCGGATGCCGACGGACAATCAGTCATATGATAAAGTCGACGGTGGAACTAATAAAACGGGAAAACATATCAACAATTTTAAAATCAGTGTAGATATTAACAACTTTATTACCATTATGAAAAACAGATATATGGTACTACTCATAGCTCAGTTAGGACCAGTCTTAATCGGCAACTCACTTGCCTACTTACAGACTTTTCACTTGCCTACTTACAGTCTTAGGTAAGAGACGTGTGATTTACATTAGCGGTTTACATTACGTAACTGGTACTATACTGCAAGTTGGATAGCTAACTGAAATAGTGTATGCTGGTTTACAAGTTATGTTCAGTTAATTGTGACGATTACACTCTTCATATAAATACAACAATAGCGGTTTACAATCTACACATAGACAAGGAGACATGTACAGATTTAGCGGAATAAGCGTACGAGAGTGGAGTACTTATATATACGTTCAATTAGTTACTTGGTTAATTTGCGTTTACTGAATGGTATGCCGGAAGGTATCACATTTCCGAGCTCCGTATGACCTGGAGACCTTTCCGTCGAGTTCATTTATTGTGCTAGCTTTTTATAGCGCAGTATATAGGGGTAGCCGCACGTTAGTGCACATGCCGCGGATAGTCCAGTCCACGCTGACTAGATTAGGGATGGACTATTTGAAATCATGGGGAGTGGCTGGAAGATTTGTTGAACAGGGAATTTGCAAGCTAATCACCGAGAGAAAGTAAATGCACGCAAGGTGTTACAGGGAAGAAATGTTTGCACATTCAAGAAAAATTAAAATGTACAGACAGCTCGAAAAAAATGCACTAGTCACAATCTTCTAACCCCACCCCTGACTTCAAATGGTTGACCACCTACCGAGTGAACGAACTGATAGTATTACTAGTGTATTCTTACCGATGCTTGTGACGACCGTTAAACAAAAGAAAGAAGAAGCCCACCAGTTATCGAACCCTGTATAGCTACCGTCGGTACTCCCCGTCTCACGTTCCCGCACTAGTTCAGCTAGTTTTATATTACGGTCGTAATCGAACACAAAATCGGTGGCAACTTTTGTCCAGTTATCCGAACCGCTTTCCCATAGGTCACGCATCGAGTCGATGAGTTGTTGTCGTATTGCCCCGGGACTCGTGGTAATGTCGCTTTCCGATGAATTGTTGGCAGTGTCGCTGTTAGGTACAGGGATAGTAGCCGTCATCGTTTCAGTCAGCTGGAATATCAACCCCCCAATCATGACATAGCCTACGATGACGATCCATGATAGCATGAACGGCTGACACGTAGGTACTGCACAACGTGGTGTGCCAGAGCTTCTCTCTTCTACCGGCTGCTGAGTGTTCACAACATTCGTATTGAACTCTTCGGGACCAGGAACAGGACCAGGACCACTAGAATCTCCCGCGGGTTCATGTGTCTCCATATTGAAGTACTGTTGTATCTCGTGATGTTTCGGATGTTACGTTATAATCAATACCAATACTACAATCAAGTACAGGATGATGAAAGTGATTGGCTTAGTAGAACCGCATTGCGCATGCGCTCGCCTAAGTAACAGCTGCGGAAATCAAATTGTTTATACCATAGCATACATACATACACAACCATTGAGGGCGCTGTGTATGTAGAGTCTATGACGCAACAAATAGGGCGATAGCTTGTCGAAACATCGCTATATTGATCATTTCAATACATTTTGAACATTATATAAAAAATAGTATATACATATATATATAACATAAATGACTTTACACAATCATATTGAACTAATAAATATCAATCACAACACGTGATTACACCCAGGGTGAAAGTTGAAGTTTTCAATTTTTGCTGAATGTAAGTTTATACCAGTTTGGTGAACAATATCGTACATAACGTGCCATATTGATAAGAAATAAATAGTTCCGGTCGCCCAGTAAAAATATTTTCCATGATATTTGACGAGTCGAGATTTTAGGGTTGGGTTAAAACACAGTCCCTCTATCACTGTGGTTAAAAAGACCAAACGTTCTGCATATGTGATAACAAAAATACATCCGACGCATTTAAAAAAAAAAAAACAATACACTTTCAGAGACACTATTCTCAAGATAGCGCACACATCATTTGTACAGTAGTCTATCTATTTAAACTTCAAATGTACCGACACTTTTCTATCCGTATTGAGGTTTGTTTTTCTTCCTCCGAGGTTCACCAACATTTTCCCGAGCACCAACGTCCTCACGCACATAAACCTAGACTATGTATGTACTGCCTAGATAAACAGATAACTGAGATACGCTGGGAAAACACCATATATTTGCAGGGAAGGTAAATTATAATAATTCTTATTCACTTACATGCCGGTACCTTAACGGGAAGTCATTAGAGAAGCACGTCCGACCAGGACAACGAAAGTTCGTTTACTGGTTGCTAGCAGCCGTGGTTTACCGGTACAAAGGCCATGTATTATTTTTTGTCCGACTCTGTCATTAAATCCAGTTTCACAATGGCAGTTGTTTGTTAAGTTTGTTATGGTAAGCATCACGTGGTAGTTTATGTTTTCTTTACATGGCATTTATTCTCGAGTGATGACAGTGTGACTTTGACTTCGGTATCTCACGTTTGATCACAGTGTATATACCATCGCCGTTACTTGTTTAGTAACTGTGATACCATGTGATAATAAGTTGAAACCATTTTCAAAATGTGATTGGGTCTTTATTTATGTATACACCAATTCGGATTATAGTCAGCGAATCCGAATCTTGGCAATTGTTTCGACTTCCCATTTCATTGTCTGGCCAAGTTTCATTTCTCAACGCTTTAAAAAGTGAATTCACAAAGATTCATTTCCGTTCCGAATTACTTTTTTGTAAATTCAGATTTCTAAAATATTTTATTTTAGGTGCCTATGGCACCAGTCTACAACTTTTGAGATGGGTATGGCATAAAGTCACTGCCTTAGGAGTCATGGTATAAGCGTTATAATGATACTGACAAAATAGCTACTAAAAAAATCCACTAAAATACAACTACTATTTTCTCGAAAATTGGGCTGTATATTGTTTAAAGTCAATATCCTTACATTGCCGGGAGTGCATTATTGCAAGATGAAGGTATTTGCATGTATGGGTAGGCCGGCTTCTACCTTGACATTGTTTATTTTTCAGTTGTTCAAGTAATATTGAGTCCTGGTAATTATCGTATTCGTTTGTATCAAATAAAACAATACATCACATATGTTCTTGGGTTGTTTTTAAAGCGGGAGTGCCTTCACCTGCGCACGCGCGAGAATTGAGTCCCTGGCGACGATAATAACACACGCTAAAAACGCTTGGATTTAGAATAGTCGAGGAGTTCGTATAATGCAGGGGTTAGGTTTCAACATTGATCACGTTTACGGGTATAACATTCTAAATGGCAGCTTATATTAAACGTCGAATAACTAATATACAATTTACATTCAAAAACGACTATTTTTTAACAATTAAAATAAAAATGTGTTGGGGATTGTGAAACGCACACTCACACAAAATGCTTATATTTATTTATTGTAAATGTTATTATGATTTTTTGACAGGATAAATTGACATAATTGAAAAAAAAATAAAAGCTTTTTCATTTTTTTTTCTGAATGTTCAAGAAATTGTACAAAACATGTTTTGCTCTTTTTGAGGCAGGAAATATTCATTTACTGTCCACAAAAATATGGCTTTTTCTTAGACACAGCGTATTTTCACTTGTCATCTTCGTCCACATCCCGAATACACGCTCCTACTTTGAAAGAAAATATCAGGGTATCAAGAATAGTTGGATCCGTCTCATACTTGTATCGCGCCCTCTGTCCACATAATAGTTTATAAAATCATAGAGGGCGCTTTTCCAAACGTGCCTATCAAACTCGGTGATACAACAGCATTACCGTAGGGCACGGTTAATAGTAACCGTAAGAAGGGTAAGCATTATGTTTCGGGTCATATTGAAAAGTTAAAAAATAATAATGTTATAATGTTGAATAAAACAACGGTTAAAAATCATTGAAATACATTGGAAATGTTCAAAAACAACCACCAATGGTCAGTTGGTCAAACAGCTAAAAAACAGCGATCAAGGTTTGTAGCTAACGTAATGTGGAATTGTTCCCATTTGTCCAAAAAATTATATATAATGCATAAAAAGTACAAAATGTTGGCGTTCAAACATTAATAACATTGCCAATTGGTTTTGTAACGCTCCTGGATTTACTATATATTTTTCTCTTAGGAAGTATCCCAGTTCTCTGAGTTATTAGATTGCAATGCTTTGATGTGAGGAAAACTGAAAAGCAAGTAAGTATTACAAAATTCGTTCACTGTGCTTTTCATGGGGCTGAGTTTGGAATGAGCATGGAAGGTACTAACGGACCTTCCATGGCATGAGTAAGCCCTATGATTATTTTCCTAAAGGTGATTGATAGTAATTATATAAAAGGCGACGATGGGGGCGCCAGTCACTGTGGCAACATATCGGCTCTTCTGAGATTTACGTGAATACCGTAAATGACAGTGACGTCAGGAATCAAAATCAGAAATTTGCGAAGCTTTGAGATGAAATCGTGTCATGCCAGATTTAGAACTGGGAGAGAATTTCTATACAATGTTTGAGAGCTTATCGTTAGTTGGTATCGGAGATTTTTTTTTCTAATCAGACCTGGTTGCTGGTTATCACTTTTCTAGAAATAGAGAGTGGATTCTTTATATTCAAGTAAGTATTTGTCAAAAGTTACAGTTCATCGGTCTCTTTAATCAGTGCGACGACGTTAACTTGTTAATTTAACGATCGAGGTTTCTAATTGAAGGACATTTAATTTATTACCAAGTTCAAGTAGCTGGATAAGCTAGCCACACACGTGTTCCAAATTATGCATGGTGTCGGAAACAGCATTATAATGTCGTTTTTGTTGGCTACGTGTGCTATTTCAAATAAATTAACAAAATTAATTAAAAAGCGGTTCTATTTATAAACATCGGTATCAACAAATATCATTTACTCTTAAAATAGTAGTTTGCACGTGGTATTAGGCTTAGATTATCAACATTTTATTCAGTAACACACGCCAAATTGCCACTGAATTTGTTTTCTCTGGGAGCTCGCCGGATTCCAAATGAGGCGTATAAAACAAATATTACATGACATGCCGTTGATCAGTGTTACTGTAAAATACTTTATTTTCGCTTGGAACTAATTTTCGCTATTTTCACTGAAGGAATGATTCAGTGCAAATAAAACCCAGCAAATATACATTTTTCCTATATTTACATTCAACTTGTCAAAAATCAGTAAAAATAAATTCCATACAAAACATCCAAAAAGTCTTTTCAGCAAAAAATAATTTCAGCTAAAATAGAGTATTCTACAGTAAGTATGTTATTTTTCAGATTACGAAGTTGATTATCACCTTCCCCGAGTAAACACATCCGACGATCTTCTCAATCACATGGCCACGTAAAATGTATATCAAACTATAGTAGTGATTGGATGGTTCCTAGCCTTCTGGGCACACATGTCTACCATTCATTTTTTAAATAACTGTAACACCCCCACCCCACCCGACACACAAGTACACACTAAGCAATTATCATGGTTATTGGTCTCGTTATGATTGGTCCAAGGCCGGGATGGTGGGTTCGGGCATAGGCCTAAGGGTATAGTGCTCGTCGCCACTGAAGAATACCTTACGGGGTCGTGTGCAGCCGTGCTTCTTACAAAGGCACGTATTATAACGGTAGATAGAACACTGAACCTGAAGACTGAAATTTGCTTAAACAAAGAATTACTCGCCAATCAAACCGCATTAGCAATAACCTTGCTACTTCACGGACGGATTACGTCATTAATTAGTCCGGGTTTTAGAATAATTTTAGAGATTATATGTATTAGTGTGGATGGTCTGTGTTTAGTGCATTTTTATGGGACTTTTAGTCTGAAATACAGAATTAATAATTATTATTTTTATTTCTCTGTTTGCAGACGTTTCTTTATTGCATCCTCTATTTACTGCTTAGTATGTGTTTTTTCTCTTAATTTTCCCCAGCATTAAAGTCCATCTAAACGCGATAGCACACCGAGAACAAGTTGTCAAGTAGATCGTCTCTACTATGATGAGTGAACACATTTTTTTATCTCTGGAAACTATACCAACAACATATCACACTTAACTTACAAATGGCAAACTTTCTAAATCAAGTTCATTTTGTAACTTAAAGTAAAACAATCCGCAATTGAACCACGAAATCTTTGTTTTTTTGTGTGTATTGAACTGGGCTTCATCTAATATTTGAGCCTCGGTTGCGTATATGGAATTACCTCCGCAACTATCGGAAACCCCCACAAGAACGTATCTCAGTGAAGTATATCTAGTGTAATTTTACGAACGACAATAATCTGTTTTTTATTTACTAACAGCTTTTTTGGAGCTT